AAAAAAAATTGAGTTTAAAAATCGTCACTTTATTTTATCGATTACAAATTTCCGGTAATATAGGGGAGGGGTGTGTATAATGTCAACTTTGAATTAAAATTTGTTTTTTCAGTACGTATTGTAGGTTTCAAAAAATATGAACGGTATTTATAATTTCTTGCTAGTCATTCATCACGTGGCCATACCGCAGTGATCCGCGGAAGATATCACAAGTTAATCTATTCTCTTGGAATTTCCATTTTACAAATATGTGCTAGATCAATAATTTGTCATACGTATCGTTGTTCCTCCGTAGAATAATCGCTTGACCCAAACAGGCTTTGGCGGCTAAAACGGGGTAATATTTATCATTACCATTGCGTTAACTTATGATTACATCAAAGCACAAGATCACAAAAAAAAGTCTATTTAAAAGAATTTGATTTGGTCTATAATAAAATATTTTGCATTATCGTTATTTTCTTTCAGGCAATTCCACGGAATTTTTCCATAATATCGATCAGAAATGGGTAATTGCCTTGAGAAATTTTCGGATTGCCTTCCTAAGAAAAGAGATAAGGGCTATAAGCTTGGTTCTGACGAAGATGAAAAAGGTCACAAACTTGGTTCTGATGACGAAGATTCCTCAGGTACTCGACAACAAGCTGTTTCAACTTCTGCCGCGGCAGAGGCTGCAGAACGACGAGCACAACAAGTAAGTTTTCGGTTTTGCCTAGAAATAAATTTGTGATTATGAAATCGATCGAAACTTGAATTTCGCTTCGTTTTGCAGGCGCAAAATCGTGGGGTACAAAAAGGCGGCGGAAAGCTGAGTAAGAAATTGGAAGAACAAAAAACGAGCTCCGATCAACCTGATTTGCAGCCTTCAGATTCGAACCTTGAGGTAATGTAAAAAATATTCTTTTGTGTGTGACACCTCTATAGGCAACACCCTGAAATAGGAATGACGTTTTTTGACCTTCACCTAATCAAACTTCATTATGTAGTGGCGAGTGGATTAATTTTTTTTTAAAAAAAGAGAAATAAACATACCAGTTTTCTAAAATTCATTTAATAACACATCAATACCCCGATACTATGGTAAACGTTTAATAAAAAGCTCACCTGATAATTGGTTATTCAAAAAATTACATAATCTGTGGCTTACAGTGTATTAGCCTAAAAGCAAGAAAAAGTGTCAATAACCTGATACTTGTATGGGATGTGGCTTTCACTTCCCAGTTTTTATTTACGTTGAATGATGATGACACCAGTTGTTTCGTCTGATTTTGTTTGTATCCATCGTGTTGTTATTATTGGTTTTCGAAAAGATTTAAGGGGTCATCTAAGAATCATATCATTTTTTTTTTTTTCATTTCACTCCCGTCACATAAATAACGACCGAAATCTAAAATCGAGAATCTAAGATAAAAAAGTTTGTTTTTTTTTGTTAAATTTTTATAACTAGAAACTTCGAAAATGGTGCACGCCGAGATGACTCTGCGGAATTTATTCATGCCAAAGCAAGCGGTTTATCAAGATGCTGAGGTAAAGCTCTTGATTATGTACGAAAAAAAAAAAATCATCACGTGATTGAAGTGTATCTTATTATTTTTGTTTCGTTAATTGCAGCCCGAGTCTATTAATGTGCTTGCCATATTATCTCGAGGGAAGATGCATTTTAACAATTATGACTACGTAAAATCTCTTGCCAGTTTCGATGTAGTATTAGATTTGGATCCCAGCAACGTAGATGCTTTAATTTATCGTGGTAAAATTCTTTATATGTTTGGACAATACGAGGATTCTCTAAAGGACCTAGATCGAGCCTTGACAATCGATTCGGTTAACGTTCAGGCGCTGATAACTCGAGGAAACACTTTATGGATGCTAAAAAAGTTTAGTGAATGCCTTGCGGATTTCTGTGTTGCCTTAGACATCGAATCAAATAATCCGCATGCGTTAAAACTTCGAGGAAAATTTTATAGATTGTTGGGTAAGTTCGACGAATCACTTGAAGATTTTAATAAATCACTAGAATTGGGACATGATAGCGCTTTCGCGCTAAGATCCCGTGGTGAGCTGCATCACATGCTTGGTAATTTCGAAGAGTCTCTCGCGGACTTGAATCAATCCTTGCAAATCGAACCGGATAATATTTTCGCTTTGAGGTCCCGGGGTGCAACGCTTTTCATGTTAAAATATTATAAGGAGGCACTGACCGATTTTAATAAAGTATTGGAGATGAATCCAAATGATAGTTTCGCCAATGAGTACAAAGATGCAATCTTCCTGAGGCAAAATCTGGTTAACCAACTTCCCCGGTCCCAAGAAAGTAATTAAAACATGAACCACCTTAGAATATGTATCATTTAAAGATAGCGTGAACGAATCAATTGATTAACTTTAATTTTTAGATCTAATTAAAACCAAAAGCCCGGTCAGCCATTTAACACACTAAAATGAGTTCGATGCTTAGATTTACACGTAATACAGTATTTGTTTAGGTATTTTTGAATATTATCATATTTAAGCTAGAGAACGTCGAGTGAATATTATGATTCTTTCATCCGAAGCTTACAGATCAATGCTGATTGCTTCGGGCAAATATCTAGTATCTTTTACAAATGAACAGTTTGAAAAAAATCCTTCTACTTTAATCAAATAATATTTATAAAGTAGTCGTAAAAAATGAAAATGTACCTAATTATATTGTAATTTCAAAGAATATATTTGCCAACATATGTTAATATTTGTTATCGATACCACAAAATAAGAGAAATTCAATCAGAGGCTTTGGAGATTACATCCCAAAGACAGTCGACTCTTTTGTTTAACCAATCTTTGTATTTAAGACCATCAACCCACTCCTTTGGTAATTTGCTGTATCCAATTCTTGCACCTAATAAGGCTCCCGCAACCGTTGCATTCGTATCGGCATCACTAAATCATCCAACAAAAGTACAATATTAGTTTTGTTCGTATAATAGAAGATAATTACCGAAATGCGGTACTAACCCAGCTTCCAGCGTCAATTCTGTGATAATCTTTTTAAACGCTTGCCCTTCGTTTTCCTGTCCATTTAAGTTTCTTGTAAAACTGTATAATGCCGCTCCCAAACACTTATAGACATATCCAATGCTTGAACGTTCATCTAAACCCAACTCGGCGAAAGAGTTAGGAAAACAATAATTTATTAACATTTTTTCGCTTGTATCAGACTCAAATGTTTTAAAGATTTTTGTCGAATCATCTTGTTCCTTGGAATTTCTTAAGATCATGAATTTATATCTCTCAACTAAAGATCGTGTCAACTCTAACATTATTGGATCCGATCCAAAGGTTTCGACGCCTGGTGGTGGTGGATCAGGAATCACGGCTATATTTCGTTGTTTTGAGTCGTAAGGTCTTTTCGCTCTTTTCGCCCAAAGCTCAAAAAGATTAGACGACGAGTTGTTAAGGTTATTCTTAACTTTATTAATTACTTTACCGATGAAACTCCTTCGCTTTGTGTTATTTTTATCTTCAGGGGACGAAATCTCTTCATCAAGGTCCTGACCCACACCATTTTTAGGGTTTCCGGATTGCATCCATTTTAATATCTCTTCCCTGGTTTCTTCATCTAAATCTGACGAAGTATTTTGAATGTCCCCTTTTATCAACTTAGAAATTAACATTGTAACGATTACACTTGACACGCAACATCTTGGATCCGCGTGTGTCACTTTGGTCGCCTGTAGGGTCTGCTTGATCACTTGTTTCTCATCCCAGAAAAACGGAACGCCTAATACTGCCGTACGCATCAATGCGCCGTTTGCAGCCATATTACAATCGAATCGTACCCAAACTTCCCATGCAGATCTGTGAGGCTGTTTACTAAATTTAGAATGTCTTATCACGGAACCGACCGTCATTCCAATTCCATTGGGACTATGAGCGGATAGGATGAGGATGCGTTTATGTTAATTGATAGATTGTAAAGATTGCGATGTATTCAAATTTTAACTCACGGTTTGTTATCGAGTTCTGGATAGCCTTGATTCGACCAGTTAGCCAATCTCGCAGAGAAATCCCGTGTGTTAAAAACGCCGTCATTCGAAATCAAGGTATCAATTATTAAAAGTTGTTGATCTAAAGTTTTGTTTTTCGCATAGCTATTTAATCTATCAATCGTGCATAAAAAGCATTTGACCATTAATAATTGATAATTACCGGTATCATCAGTCCATTCTCCAAAATCCCATCCATCTCGATGTCGATCCACATAAAATTCATAGCCTTTATCATTGCCGAATGCTATAGGACCAATGCCATATATTTGTCTTGCCATTTGCTTCGTCATGAATTCTGTAGCGAGTCCCACTGCATCCCCTATCGCAGCTCCTACGTGAAATAATAATAATAATAATTTTTTTTATGGTTAAAATATATATGAAATTGCTTGCCTCAAAAGAGCAAAATACGAGCATACCAAAAATGCATCCTTTCAACCTGTCATAAATCTCCTCACGACTTAGTTTTGAAGCATTCTCAGGCCATTGCATTATTACTATTCTAATTGGTTAAGCTCTTAGAAAAATAGGTAGTTTCGTGTGAATTAAAGACTTTTTATTTAATTTGGATAATTAATAATGCGGCAGCCGGTTGATGTGAAAGGATGGGGATGCTTGACTTTATGCAAAATTTATTTGTTGTACGTATGAAAAAAGATACAAGAACTCCGATAATGCAACATACCGCTTCTCCGTACAAAAGTAACCAAATTAAGAATTGGCATTCTATTTCAAGTTATTGAGTAATGAGTTCTTTTCCAGGCGTCGATATTCTATACTATGATACCTCCAAATTACGTTTTCAAGTAAATTTCGGATTAATATTACTGACATATAGTGCTTAGATGAGTCTGCACTTTACCGCAGTATTCGTCGTGTAACGATTGAAAGAGTAATTTTATTATGGCCGAGGTGGGCATACCACTGAAAAAGGAATGTATATATGATCTCATAAAAAGTGTGATACAGTACAATGTACTGTACACATAACCCTTAATGCGACATGCATTCTCGCAGTAAGTGCAGGATTCATGAGGCAATATGCCAGAGTCCAAGAAATTTCAAAAGTCTCACCCAATCTACAAATATCGTGGCACTAAACAATACACTTACTTACTGCGACCATTTATACCTCATAGGGATGTTAATCGGATCTATCTTTAATAAATAATCATTATTGAAATAAGCAACAATTTTATTGGGGGCAACATTACTGTATAAGGGATTTAGACTCCAAAAAAGTTTTTCGTCTATCTCCAATAAGTAATCTTGGTTAAAAAATCATTATAAACATTTTAATTAGTAACTCGCGATGAAAAATCATTTTTATAACTAGCAATTTCTTTTGGATTATGCATCATATTGGCAGTTGAACCTCGGATATTGATTTAATAAAATAGAATTTACAATATTTCTTTCTAGATTATTATACAAATCCAATGTATATTTTCATTTATAGCAAACATGGTATACTGATGATATGAAAGAATTCCCAGAAAATATTGTTGATGCTTCATATTAAATTAAATTAAATTAAATTAAATTATACGATACATCGTGTTCGGTGGTAATCAGGATAAATGCTTTTAAAAGATTTTTTAAATTATTCAAGACGAAATTGGTTATCTCATTAAAAGAATTTATAAAAAAACTTATAAAAAAACTTACCTCGTTATTTTCATTTGATAACATTTTTTTTAAAAAATTTTTTTTCTATTATTAATAATATTAAATTCATATAATATTATAGTTTTAATAATAAATTTTTTTTTTAATTTAATAAATTTAATAAAGAAAAATATTGATTAATAATTTTTAAGTTTCATTACTTTAATAAAAATTTTGTACATAAAATATTACGAGATATAAATAATTTTAATGAAAAATTTGTAAATTTGTAAAAAAAAGTTTTTTTAAAGTGGTTTTTATAAATTGATATTCGATATCATTCTAATGATGTTATTTAAATATATTTTAAAAAATATTATATAATTTTTTGGAAATTAATTATAAAATATATAAAATACATAAATAATTTATAATTCCTAATTATTATTTTTGAATTTATATAATGATATTGTATTTTATTTTATTAATTTATTTTATTAATTTATAATTTTTATAAAAAAATAATAATATAATTTAAATTTATAATACATGATATTATAAAGATAATGTATAAATAATGACTTTAAAATATTGATTCAATATAATTTTATTGTATATAACATTAATTTAATTGTAACATTAAAAATAAATATTATGATTATTATTTTATATACTTTTTTAAAAAATAATTTAATAAAACTATATAATATAATAAATTAATTATTGAATTATTAAATAAACGTTTTAAAAAAAAATTATAAAGTTAAATTTTTAACAATATCACTTCAATACTATTTTAATATTTGTTTGATATCTAAGTTTATTATAAATTTATATAAGTAAATCACAATTCATTTATTAAATTTATTATAAATTAATATTATTTTAATATCAGTTTAATATCAATTTGATATTTTTCAGAACCCTATTTAAGGATTCTAATGATTTGATTTAATTTGATTCTTGGTTCTCTAAGTTTATATTAAATTTACTATGTGAGTTATAACTCATTATTATTTTTAATAATGTTTCAAATCTTATATAAATTTATATAAGTCTGTTTAATTTCAATTTTCAAACCCATAACTCTATTATAAAGTTAAAAATAGATTTTTTTATTTTTAAACAAATATCTTAAATTACAGATTAAAATATTATTAAAATTTGTTTATTTCTTTTATTAACAAGAAATTAAATAATATCTATCTTATATTAAATAAATAAATATATTATTATTATTATAAGATATAAAATAATTAATATTTGATAATAATAATAATAGATAAAAAAAACTCTCTCCTGATCGCGTCCGTTTTGTTAAAAATTTTCCTTTTATGGTAATTTTAAGCAAGAAAAAATG